TAACATGATGCAATTCATATCATGTATGATGCAATACCAGCTTCAGATTGCATCATTCATTGTTTTGCCTAAAAAGCAAGTACTGTCCAAACCCAGTCATAGATTTATTCATAGATCCAGTCCAAGATGTATTTTAGTCATTTCTGGTTTAAATTGAGATCCCTTCCCTTTATAACTCACTTATCCTCCGCCATTCTCAAGTCAAGGGTCGTATATACTGACCCAATAGCATATCTTGAAAACTAGAGCCAATCAACAATTTTAAGCATCATTTTCGTTCTCGGTGACCCAGAATTAGTAAAGTTTGACTACATTTATTTCAGAAGCATTTTGGCTGTAGAGCAGTGTATTAGGAAAAACTCTAACTGTAAGGGTACATAAACTCTGGAATAGGTTTCCAAGGGAGGTTTTTAAAAACAGGTTGAGCATACACCTGTCAGGGATAGTCTAGGTTTACTTGGTCCTGCCGCAACGTAGGGGTTGGACTTGATGACTTTTTGAGGTCTCTTGCAACCCAACATTTTGTGTTTGATAAACTTAGTGTTTTTCTTATATTTCCAGTATAATTAAGGTTATTTTTATTAGTAAAATAAAGCCATCTTAAAATGCTGGTTTGTGCGTTTTTAATTAAATCCCAATTTCCATTCAAATGTAGCTTGACACAAATTACAAGTAAAAAATTAATCATCTAATAAATGAGAAATGCATCATTCACCATTTTCTAAGATAAACTGAATGTAAAAATTAGGAATCGGAATATTAAGCTATATAATTCCTTAAGCTATATATATAGCTCTCTGTGTGTGCGTAAAACGTCTGTTAAGCAATATAATTGATTAAATAAATGTGTATAGCGAGTGTGTCTTCCTGGACCAAATAGTGTAAAAGCTATATTTAGTTGCAGATCACCATGTTTTAGTGGTTAGCAACCAATAAGAATCTGATTCTATGATTTCCCCCAAAAAAGGTTCTTATTGGTTGCTATATGCATAAATAAACTATAAATAACTAACTAAAAAATAAATAAATAACTATAGTGCAAATGTAAAACAAGTTTAAAGTTGATAATTTAGATCATGGTTAAAATCGATTATTAAAATCAATCCACCCTGTCCATTTCTCAGGCAACTTAGTTTCCATGTTACCCCCTCATCCTGACTATTCATGTTAGTAACTTAATAGTAAAGCTACCTTTTAGTCACAGATGTTTTTAGTAAAAGTCATGGACAGGTCACGGGAAGTAAACAAAAATTTGGTGCCCATGACCTGCATATCACTTGTACTATATACCCCTAACTAAAACTTGGCCAGGGGGCCCCCAGTGCTCTGAGGGCATGGGCTGGGGGTGCTGCAGGTGCTATGGGGGGGTTGTCTGGGACCCCCGCTGGTGCTGTGAGGGGAGGGTTGGTGAGGCTGGCAGGCTCCCTACTGTCCTCCATGTAGCTCCCCAGAAGCAGCTGACATGTCCCTTCAGCTCCTAGGGGGAGGGAAGGCCAGGGGGCTCAGCTCGCTGCCTCCGATACGAGCTGCAGCTCCGCAGCTCCCATTGGTCAGGAACCGCAGTTAATGGGAGCTGTGGGGGTGGTGCCTGCAGGCAGAGGCAGTGCACAGAGCCCCCTGGCCGCTCCACCTAGAAACTGCAGGGACATGCCAGATGCTTCCGGGGCCCCCCATCCCCTGAGGTAAGTGCCGCCCTACACACCAACCCCCAGCCGTGAGCCCCTCCCACTGCCAAACTGCCCCAGCAGTGCGACTGTCCCAGGGGCTGCTTGATCTGTTCGGGCAGTCCCAGAGCCAGCTGCACCGGCCATTGCAGAAGCCACGGAGGTCACAGAAAGTCACGGAATCAGTGACCTCCGTGACAGACATGGAGCCTTATTTAATAGCTATTGGGGTCAAATAGCAGTCAAGGAGAGGGCAAGATGTACGGCTCTGCTTATGGGAGCAGCATCTTTAACATTTTAAAGATTGGCTATAAAAGCCTAAACAGAAGAGAATAGTCTTTCCTCCATGTTACAGTTACATAGTTAAAATGTAATATTATCACCATAGACTAAAGCCTTCTTTCCACTGCCTTCTCCTCTTCCATATCCCAGGCATTGAACGTTGATGCTTTCCCCTTGTAAACACATGCAACACACAGATGTGCAAAGACCTATTGCAGCAGAACAGGGCTACTCTCCACCACAACTTATATTCCAAAGCTATTTAAGGTACTGTTGCTAACTTGAAAAACAATGGAAATTCCCATACAAACAACTTTTATTTAAAGTTAAGATTGCTCAAATACATGCAGTCAGTTAACGTAAGGCAACATAAACAACTACACATGCCTTACCACCCAAATATCATAGTTCCCAAATGCGCATACAGACTCCTGACTTCTACAACAAACACCTTGTCATGTTCAATATATACCCATCCTTCAAAAGCAGTATTTCTGTTCTACGTTGTCCCCAGGCTGTCACTTATACATATTACTAATTTGTAGGCATTTCCTAACATTAAAGGTGAATGGAAAAGCTCCTAGTACCACAAAATGGAATTGCCTTATAATACAGGATTTTTTATTTTGTTTCATCTGAGAGAGACTAGAGCTGCAAATTTCAGATCTGGCTCCAGATTTGAACTTTTCTGGTATTTATAAAGGTGTTTGGGTCCAGGATGTGGTACAGATCATTGTTCAAAGAGAAGGGGCAGCAATGAAGTTCAGTTCAGGATCCGAACTTCCTAAAGTTTTTAATCAGGCACTTTGTTTCAGCCCATGTCTATTTTTAGTATAATGTACAGACAAGACCTAGACCTGTCGTACTGTGCTTCTCTACCTTCCTAGACTTGTCCTTTCATTTTTTTCAGTGTAATCAAAAAGCTTTTCCCCTTAACCATGAGCTCTATGTTTGATACTGGTAATGTGTGTTAGCTGCATACCCCATCTGAGAACTCTGGCAATTGCCCACGTGATTCTTAAATTAGAGGGATACATTTGAAAGATTACATTATATAGTGAGCCATCTGGAATAGACATTTCTGTCGGTAATGTCCTGCTTTTACCCTTTGTGTCTGTGCAGTAAGGTCAAGAGAAGGTTTTTGTCCAAGATGGCTAAGTGACATATGTGAGGGGAACACTATCTTTGGGCCTAGGGGTGTCTGTATAACTCGATAACAGCATCAAACTTAATTGACATTTTCTTCTAAATAATAATATCAGATGTGGTAAGTCATTGTCTTGTCACACAATAGTTACAGGCTTTTGCAACGGCCCATTAATTTCAATCATTGGGCAGTAAAGAAGCCATAGCAACAACTAATGTGCTGTACACTTATGAGGTTATAGCCATAACACCTTATGTGTAATAATAAAATTTTGATGATTGACACAGCTGATAAGCCCTGATACCTCTGGTTTCTGATCTTTCATGTAGATTTTAAAATTCTTTCATACTGTTCATCCCATAATCCAAAATGGCACTAAACCATTGAATACCATATTATTTTCAGCCAGTGTGTTAGTAAATGAGACTTACCACCTTCTTCAATTTAAGAGAGGGGAAGAAAACCGATAAGCCCCTACCTCCTGCTCCCCAATCTGTTTATCGAAGGTACTTGTATGGCCTTCATTACTATGTTATCAGAATGCCTTATGGTCTTGAATGCATTTGTCCTTTCTTCTAGGTTACTTCTGGAACTGCTTGAACTTCTCTTTGACAAATTCAACGCTGTAGCAGCTGCTCACTCTGTGGTGCTGGGACATCTTCAGCAGACAGTGGTCTCTCCGTCCAGCCTGTATGATGGTGATGTCAAATTGTATGACATGGCAGATGTGTGGGTGAAGATCCAGGATGTCTTACAGGTAAGAATCTCTCAAACAGTCATGCACTCAGTTTAGAACAGCAATTTTTGCTGACAGAGTGCCCGAAAATTCATTCATATAGACTAGAGGCTCAAGAAGCATACATGCTGGAACTTGTCTTTATTGTTGGGTAAATGTCTGTGTTGTTATAATGGACTGCTGGGTCCCAAAGCACATAAACCCCGGCAATCAACGTATTTTTTGGCTTCATCTTTATGGTGCGTGAAGAGGTGATACAAGTTACCGGCCAAGTTACCAAATGATGTTATCAGAAGCTTTCAAACAGTAACATTTAACTCAGTGTTGTTACCTTGTCACATTTTCCTGTCACATAGAGTGTCACAACTGAAACCACCTGTCTCCTTATGTCAGCATGCCTTCATTGCCGTCAGCCAAGACACTCAGGCTGGAGCTGCTGCCTGCATATTTTCTCTGAAGACTTCTCAACTTTTGTTCTAAATTGTGGTCTACTTCTATAAAGGATTATAGAAAGTTCCAGGTTTTCTTTTCTTTGTTGTTCGGTTTAACTGCACAATGGCGTGTGATAACTGTCTCTACATATATAGGTATGGATCATAGAATCATAGACTATCAGAGTTGGAAGGGACCTCAGGAGGTCATCTAGTCCAACCCCCTGCTAAAGCAGGACCAATCCCCAACTAAATCAGATAAGTCACACGTGGCGTATGCAGTTATTAAGAAGTTTTGAATGGCTTACCAGCCCTTTGCCAATTAATCTTTTCCCTGGGCCTCTTTCTAGCCCCCTTAGGCAGCTTCACACAGGTGCTTTATAAAGAATCAGTTTGACACACAAATGTTTCTTTCTCTCCCAGATTTTAACCCTCCTTCCCTTTGTTATCATACCTGCCCAAACCTCAGGATAGATAATATTCAGCCCCAGGCTAGTGACCGTCACAAATGTTAAAAACCTTGTGCAATTGGAGCTGACTGGAACATGTCCGTGGCAATGGTTAAGCTTGTGGGTGGCAATAGAGTGCCTAGTTCATGCTCTAGCCATGCTATCATTGTCCAAGGCCAAAAAACCTTTAAGAGCTTTGGCAGTTCTGCCAGTCTCACTCTAGGGAGCAGAGGCCCAGGAGTGAGAATCTTGCACAACGTTATCGTCAGTGAAGTAGAATTACAAGGCAAGTAATTTTCCCTTATCAGCAAGAGTTGGTGATGGTTGCATCCCTCATAAGTGGTGAACTAAAATTGAGAAAACCTTTATACTGGACGACACATACGCAACCCCCACCTTTCCCCAACTGAGTATCTCCTATATGACTGAAGAATCAAGTGAGAGAGTTTTAAACTTTGTTATTGGGATTATTTTTTGTAATCTACCACCTGTGATGCTTAGTTGCTATAAGTCTGACTGGTCAGAGGGAGCCATAAAACCCTCCAGAAATGACCTAAAATAGCTTTTCTGCACATAAAAATGACAGCAATTCAAACTCTATAATCTTGTGCCCATCTGGGGCTGGAAATGAGTGCTGGATCGCCATGGGAAGCTGGGACTCTTCTCTATTTCTGTTTGTATTTAGCTCCTGTTTATTGCATTGCAGGGTCACAAGCATAGACAGCTGGTGAAAACATTATTTTTGGTGGCCAGGTGCATGGAATGGGGGGAGGCCCCCACTCCAGTGCGTGTGTGTGGGAGGAGCCTCTTTTCTGAGGGATGTCTCAGGCCCCACTCTTGAATGTGTGTGTGGTGGGGGGGGGGGGGGGGGGGGGGGGG